ACCCCCACCACGACCACCGTCGTCAGAAACACGCCAACCGCGACTCAATTCCGTTTCCAACATTGCGTCCGCGACGTCGCAAATCGCGCGGTACGTTTGCGCATCAGCTTCTCTGAAAAACATAAAAAAAACAAATTAAAATAAATAAAACGGTTAAAAATTTGTTACGATTTTATAAAATTTTTGTGAAAAAGTTATTGTTGATATTGAAACTTTTTGTGCTTTCTCAGATGTTGGATTTGGCCTTTGGTATGTACGCAATGCGCAAGATGCAACAGTAAATGATAAAAAAAAGAATTATTTTTATGAAATGAATTTACAAAAAAGAATTTGTACGGGGAGTTGATCGAATTCCTTTAAAGCTTGTTAGTGAATGTATTAGCGAAGGGAAGAAGTTGAAATTCCTTTCAAGTTGTCCGTTTTTAAAAGTGGTCGTCGTCTTCTTCGTCGTCGTCGTCGTCCCGTTTTGCTACTTTTAGATCTTAAGGTAGAGCTAATTTAACTAGTTCTTTCATTGCATACCAAAAGAAGGATTTTAAATTGTTTCGAAAATCTTGAGTTATTCTCACACACACTAATTGGACGAATACAATTTTTCTAGAAATTTTTAAACCGTAAAAAATGTTGTACGTTTTCAAGGTTACAAATTAGTAAATATTACTTCCATTTAAAAGTTAAAAGTATAAAATTAACGGTAAAAGTAATTTGAGTATATCAAAATCTCATTAGAACGTTCACTTTGGGAAAAAGATACGAGAACACTTTCGCACTATCACTAATATTTAATAATGATGGTAATAATCGAGGAGATATTTTTGAAAAATCATCCTTTTTGATTGAAAATATTAAAAAGTGAATGTTTAAAATGTTTAGAAAGGTGGAGAGAGCGTGGTATGGTTAAAACTAAAGCCGATTAATCGATTGTGAACTTCCCCGTAAACCCGTAATTCAATTATAGGATCCGTATGAAGATAAGGTAGCAGAGCACGTAGTTCGTACTACGAAAGCCAATTTGTCGACGTGTAATTGAGGCAATTTGTAATAATATTAAACTTGGAAAACCGGTAGTTATCGAAAATTACGTCAAAATATGCGTCAATTATGTACATGGTAAAAAACTTCTCTAATTGTTTTTTTAAAACAAATCATTTTAAATTTATAAAAAATTTTGAGGTTAAATTAAACCAACGTCCTTTAAAATTCTTTTATAATAAACTGATTCAATGTATTTTTTCCCTAAAAAAGTTAAAATCGAATAAAACTAACTAAAAACTCGGGATACAAGTAACAAGATAATAATCAATTTGTTACCTTATCGACTCAAAACATCATTAAATTCCGCAAGTTTAAGATTCAAAGTAACTTCTTGTAACCACACATAGTACTTGTTGTGCCTCTTCGATTTACCACAACGAAAAACACATCCAATTTGACAGCTCAAAAATTTGACGTTTCATCTCAATTATAATTAAATGAAAACTGTTTCAATAGATGGAGCTAGTAAGCATCGTGAAGTTAATTAAATTGAATGAAACTTTTGAGGTTAGCTTTTTTTCTTAATTAATGCACCAAAATTTCACCTCAAATTTAACCAACATCCTTTAATATTCTTCAAGCGGTTACAATAAAACGATTCAATTTGCTTCTTTCCCTAAAAAAGTTAAAATCGAATAAAACTAACTAAAAACTCGGGATACAAGTAACAAGATAATAATCAATTTTTTACCTTATCGACTCGAAACCTCATTCAATTCCGCAAGTTTAAGGTTCAAAGTAACTTCTTGTAACCACACATAGTACTCTTTGTGCCCCTTCGATTTACCACAACGCAAAACACATCCAATTTGACAGCTCAAAAATTTGACGTTTCATCTCGATTACAATTAAATGAGAACTGTTTCAATAGATGGAGCTACTAAGCATCGTGAAGTTAAATTGAATCAAACTTTTGAGGTTAACTTTTTTTCTTACATAATTAATGCATCAAATTTTCACCTCAAACTAAACCAGCGTCCTTTAATATTCTTCAATCGTTATAATAAAACGATTCAATCTGTTTGTTTCCCTAAAAAAGTTAAAATCGAATAAAACTAACTAAAAACTCGTGGACAAGTTACAAGTAAGAAACTTATCATTTTTTTTCAAATTTTTTACCTTATCGACTCAAAACAGCATTCAATTCCGCAAGTTTAAGGTTCAAAGTAACTTTTTCTAACCACACATAGTACTCTTTGTGCCTCTTCGATTTACCACAACGCAAAACACATCCAATTTGACAGCTCAAAAATTTGACGTTTCATCTCGATTATAATTAAATGACAACTGTTTCAACAGATGGAGCTAGTAAGCATCGTGAAGTTAATTAAATGGAATGAAACTTTTCATATCAACCTTTTTTCTTACATAATTAATGCACCAAATTTCCACCTCAAACTAAATCAACGTCCTTTAATATTCTTCAAACGCTACAATAAAACAACTCAATCTGTTTCTTTCCCTAAAATAGTTAAAATCGAATAAAACTAACTAAAAACTCAGGATACAAGTAAGATACTTATCAATTTTTTTCAAATTTTTTACCTTATCGGCTCGAAACAGCATTTAATTCCGCAAGTTTAAGGTTCAAAGTAACTTATTCTAACTACACATAGTACTCTTTGTGCCCCTTCGATTTACCACAACACAAAACACATCCAATTTGACACCTCAAAAATTTGACGTTTCATCTCGATTACAATTAAATAAAAATTGTTTCAATAGGTGGAGCTAGTAAGCATCGTGAATTTTTTTTTTAATTTGAGGTGAATTTTCACCTCAAATTAAACCAACGTCCTTTAATATTCTTCAAACGTTACAATAAAACGATTCAATCTATTTCTTTCCCTAAAAAAAGTTAATACAAGCAACAAGTAAGATATTTACTTTTTTTTAAATTTTCTACTTTATCGACACGAAACAGCATTCAATTCCGCAAGTTTCAGATTAAAAGTAACTTCTTCTACCCACACATAGTACTCTTTGTGCTCTTTCGATTTACCACAACGCAAAACACTTTCAACTTGGTAACTCTAAAATTTGACATTTCATCTCCTTATAATTAAATAAAAAATGTTTCAATAGATGGAGCTAGTAAACATCGAGAATAATCTATAAATTTATCAATTTTTACTCGAAATAACATTTAATTTCACAAGTTTAAGATCTAAAGTAGATCATAACATAATTAGTGGTCATGGAACTCGTTTTATAACTCAAAAATTTGACATTTCATCTAAATTACAATCAAATTTAGATTGTTTCAATAGATGGCGTTAATAAATATCGAAAAGTTAGGTCAGTTGTCAATAAATTTGACATTTCAAATTTGAATGAATTAATATGGGGAGATTAATTGAAAATTGATGAGTTTACCGTTAACGAAATTGAATGAAACTCAAAATGTCAATCTCTTCGCTTTCTAAATGAATTCGCAACGTTACACTTTATCATTTTAGTTTTACGTAACGATAAATCCTCTTAACGATCGGTATTTATTATTTAATAGTTACAGAGTAATGAACCGAGACGTAAATCAACATCGTCGATTACGTTTTTTAATAAGTACTCGAAAAAACTTTAATATAACGTAAGTATTTAAGTTAACGTGCGCCTTATTATCATCTTGTGGAAATATTGACTCAAAGCATATACACTTTCAAGACACTCGAAATTTTTCGAGTGCTTTGGCTTATCTCGAGACTGCAAGACATTCCAATTCGTCATTCTTGATTCTTGCAGTGAGGTTTCTCTATTTAGTGTTCGTTTCTGGCGCCGGAACCGTATATTTCGAACGCTGACCGGGAACGGAGAAATCCACGTGATTCATTCTCTTTATTCTACATAAAAACAAAAATAAATATATACCTAAAAGCTTCTCTGTATTTTGAAACACACTCAGTGAGTTCGAGCTCTTCGCGAAATGAGGAATAAAATCCTTTGTTTTGTGTGTTTAAATCGACAGGATTCCATTAATGTTCGTTTAACGAAAGCTATTTATAGATATAATTACGATTATCGTGAGTATATAATATATAAATTTTAATTTATTCGTTGTTTATTAGAAATTGTGTTTCACTTTCTTGATTTACTTTCATTTTTTCTTTTACTTTTCAAATTGTTTGCAAGATTATGATTAATGTATGTTAATCTAGCTTTTATGATAGATAACGCGAATAGTTTATTTTAGATATTGGTTGTTGTTTGTACACGAGGAGATGTGTTAATAAAAAACGAGGTTGATTAAATATTAGTATAAATAAAAATAAAAAAAAATTAGGTTGGTAATATTGACACATTAAAAATTAACCTCAAATAAATTAATGCTAAATGACAGTTCTAAGTTGTGACTTAAAATGAAACAATTTTGATTGATTTCTTAAGATTCCTTATCTGAAATTGAGTAATCTTTGTATTATAATCACGTACTACATTGTACGATTTCCTCTCGAGATGTGGAGGACGTTCGGAATTTGAAAACGTAGGAGGAATACATCGTTTCAACGAGAACGACACTGAAGAAGACGTCCTCTTTTAACGAGACAACTTTATTTTAATTATAAATAAGACGTGGTGGCAATCATCGTCGAAGGGTTTACATGCCAATTAAAGTTTTTTAAGTTAATAGTGAAATCTTTAAAAATTAAATAAAAATAAAACAACAGCGCCATCTCTGGTTGGCAAATCAAACTAGAAAAGTGTCAAATTTTTGAGTTAATATAGTTTTTGTATTAAACTAAATCGCAATTTGTTAATTATCAAATGTTATTGATATTAAAAGTATCATTTTAATGGTTAAGTATTTATTTGTATTCATGTTGAAGATAGTTTTGATGTTAATGTCAAATTTGACGTTTTAACCTGTCATTCGTAGATTTTGCATAGCATTTTAATTTAGGTAATTGACATTTAATTAATTTTTAACAATTCATATAAATGAATGATGAAATCAAACTTAATTACAGCCAGAGTCATTAAGGAGCACACGAGATCTCGTACTGGACAAGGAGATGGAGATCTGCTACGTTTAGTTCAGCGGATCTCCAAAGAGGCCAACAACAATGCCCCCAAAATGGGGGCTAACGTGAGCAGGCACTCCGCTAAAGGACTGTCCGGCAGAAGAACCCAGTCTAGCGGTAGCATTTGCAACGGAAAGGGAAGTAGTACTAGGCATGGTGACGCGAAGATCTGCGGAAGCTTGCCTAGTTATTTAGACGACGGGGGAATCAATAATAATCAAAGAGATTGTGAAAAATTAGAAGACGTAAGTTTTTTTAACCACTCCTTTAGAATTACCTTTTACTGTGCACATTATAGTTTTATCAGCGTATAAAGATCTTGAGAGCACGACCTTAAAACCTTTAAATATCAAATGTATTAGTCACAGTATAGATTTCGAAACGTTATTTTTTTTATCAATTAGGAAAGAATACCGCCTTTAGGAGACGGTGCCCCATTACATTGGAAATTTTCGGACAACCAAACAGCCCTGTGCGATCAAGGTTATGGCTCGGAAAGGAGCCCAGAAGAAGAATATCCACCACCTCTACCGGAACATGATAATCAGTGTCACCATCACTTGGAGTTACACTCGTGTTATCCTTTTATAACGCCAGGTTTGTATTAATGTTTCGTGACCTAAATTTGCAAACCAGAATGGTCTCGAGGGTTGAAAACTAATGGACGCCGTCTGTGTGTGGTTTGTTATGGTACCTATGGGGATAAGAGTTAGAACTTTGTACGATTTTGAAATATGGTTCTTAAATTAAAACTAAAACATTAAATAGGTGTGCAACTAAATAAATATTAATTCTGGGTCACCTGTATATATAACGGAAAGTTTGAACAGGTTGTGCTACTACAGAACACACTCACAGTAGAACCGGCGGCAACAAAAATCAATATCGTCCTCCACCCACACCACCACAATCTCCCTGTAGAATTGTTTACATCTCCAGTTTACCGTTTTATCAATAAAACGATAATTTGGTACTTACACAACTTAGATGGTCCCTTATTTAAGTTTAAATTAATTAATTGCAACTACAAATTACACTCTATTTTTTAATTCGGAGGAGTGTACATCATGAAAGAATATATATATATGATAACTAACTTCAGGTTTAAAATGTCAACCTCAATTTTGACATATTTGTAATCACCGTGAAAATCCTTTAAAATGAGCCCAAACATGATATGTTTAATCCCAATATTACTCGAGATATAAGCAACTTCCGGTTTGAAATGTCAATGTTATTTTGATATATTCTTAATTTTATGAAATGTCTTAAAATTTGTCACAAATAGAAAAATATAATAAAAATATTAAGAAATTTAGGTTGGTATTAATATTTAAAATTAAATTGCTATCTTCATTGTTGCTAACTTCGGGTTTAACGGTTTTTATTCTTACTTTTTTGTTTTTTGAGATAAATGCGTCATGTTTGGACTCATTTTAAAGGTTATTTTATAAAGATTACGAATATAATGATAAAATTAAAGTTGACATTAACACCTGAAAGTTTTTTCTTAGCCGTGCGTCGAAACTCTTTCAAAAAACATCAAAATTATTTTTAGGCCCACGGCTAAATACGAATACTCCTAGGTTTAGTGTTAGTTCTAGTTTTTGTGCAATAAAAATATACAACATATTACTATGTTGTATATTAAATAACTAAATTTTAGAATAAGATATTACTATCTTATTCTAAAATTTGCTAAAAATGAAATAAGAAATGCCTGAAGGATTTTGCTTGCAATATTTGCATTTTAAACATGATGAGAAATTTATTGCATCTCAATTTAAACTGATCAATGATTTTGCTAAACCTGAAATTTGTAAAAATTCGTGGAAAATTAGTATTTCAATGAAATAAGAAATGGCAGAAATATTTTTTGCAACATTTGCTGTTTTAGACATACCCAGAAATTTGCTGCAATTCAAATTAACTTGCTTAAAGATTTTGCTCAACCCAAAATTTACTAAAAATCATGGAAAACTAGGTTTGCAATGAAATAAGAAATGCCTGAAGGATTTTACTTGCAATATTTGCATTTTAAACATGATGAGGAATCTGCTGCAGCTGAATTTAAACTCATCAATGACTTTGCTGAACCTAAAATTTGCAAAAACTCGTGACAAATTAGTATTGTAATGAAATAAGATACGGCAGAAGTATTTTTTGCAAAATTTGCTGCTTTAAACATGAGGAGAAATTGGCTGCAGTTTAAATTGAATTGATTAAAGATTTAGCTCAAACTAAAATTTGCTAAAAATCATGGAAAACTAGGTTTGCAACGAAATAAGAAATACCAGAAGGATTTTTCTTGCAATATTTGTATTTTAAACATAATGAGGAATCTGCTGCATCTCAATTTAAAGTGATCAATGACTTTTCTGAACTCGAAATTTGCAAAAATTCGTGGAAAATTAGTATTGTAATGAAATAAGAAGCGGCAGAAGTATTTTTTGCAACACTTGCTGCTTTAGACACGGCGAGAAATTTGCTGCAGTTCAAATTAAATTGATTAAAGATTTTGCTCAACCCAAAATTTGCTAAAAATCATGGAAAACTAGGTTTGCAATGAAATAAGAAATGCCAGAAGGATTTTTCTTGCAATATTTGCATTTTAAACATAATGAGGAATCTACTGCATCTCAATTTAAACTGATTAATGATTTTGCTGAACCTAAAATTTGCAAAAATCGTGGAAAATTAGTATTGTAATGAAATGAGAAGTGTCAGAAGTATNCTAACTTCAGGTTTAAAATGTCAACCTCAATTTTGACATATTTGTAATCACCGTGAAAAATCCTTTAAAATGAGCCCAAACATGATATGTTTAATCCCAATATTACTCGAGATATAAGCAACTTCCGGTTTGAAATGTCAATGTCATTTTGATATATTCTTAATTTTATGAAATGTCTTAAATTTTTTAACAAATACAAAAATATAATAAAAATATTCAGAAATTTAGGTTGGTATTAGTATTTAAAATTAAATTGCTATCTTCATTGTTGCTAACTTCGGGTTTAACGGTTTTTATTCTAACTTTTTTGTTTTTTGAGATAAATGCGTCATGTTTGGACTCGTTTTAAAGGTTATTTTATAAAGATTACGAATATAATAATAAAATTAAAGTTGACATTAACACCTGAAAGTTTTTTGTTAGCCGTGCGTCGAAACTCTTTCAAAAAACATTACTTTTAGGCCCACGGCTAAATACGAATACTCCTAGGTTTAGTGTTAGTTCTAGTTTTTGTGCAATAAAAATATACAACATAGTGATATCTTATTCTAAAATTTGCTAAAAATGAAATAAGAAATGCCTGAAGGATTTTTCTTGCAATATTTACATTTTAAACATGATGAAGAATCTATTGCATCTCAATTTAAACTGATCAATGATTTTGCTGAACCTGAATTTTTTGCAACATTTGCTGCTTTAGACATGGTGAGAAGTTTACTGCAGTTCAAATTAAATTGATTAAAGATTTTGCTCAAACTAAAATTTGCTAAAAATCATGGAAAACTAGGTTTGTAATGAAATAAGAAATGCCAGAAGGATTTTTCTTGCAATATTTGCATTTTAAACATTTAAACATTTGATCAATGATTTTGCTGAAACTGAAATTTGCAAAAATTAGTATTGTAATGAAATAAGAAATGGCAGAAGTATTTTTTGCAACATTTGCTGCTTTAGACATAGTGAGAAGTTTGCTGCAGTTCAAATTAAATTGATTAAAGATTTTGCTCAACCCAAAATTTGCTAAAAATCGTGGAAAACTAGGTTTGCAATGAAATAAGAACTGCCAGAATGATTTTTCTTGCAATATTTGCATTTTAAACATTTAAACATTTGATCAATGATTTTGCTGAACCTGAAATTTGCAAAAATTAGTATTGTAATGAAATAAGAAATGGCAGAAGTATTTTTTGCAACATTTGCTGCTTTAGACATGGTGAGAAGGTTGCTGCAGTTCAAATTAAATTGATTAAAGATTTTGCTCAACCCAAAATTTGCTAAAAATCGTGGAAAACTAGGTTTGCAATGAAATAAGAACTGCCAGAATGATTTTTCTTGCAATATTTGCATTTTAAACATTTAAACATTTGATCAATGATTTTGCTGAACCTGAAATTTGCAAAAATTAGTATTGTAATGAAATAAGAAATGGCAGAAGTATTTTTTGCAACATTTGCTGCTTTAGACATGGTGAGAAGGTTGCTGCAGTTCAAATTAAATTGATTAAAGATTTTGCTCAACCCAAAATTTGCTAAAAATCGTGGAAAACTAGGTTTGCAATGAAATAAGAACTGCCAGAATGATTTTTCTTGCAATATTTGCATTTTAAACATTTAAACATTTGATCAATGATTTTGCTGAACCTGAAATTTGCAAAAATTAGTATTGTAATGAAATAAGAAATGGCAGAAGTATTTTTTGCAACATTTGCTGCTTTAGACATGGTGAGAAGGTTGCTGCAGTTCAAATTAAATTGATTAAAGATTTTGCTCAACCCAAAATTTGCTAAAAATCATGGAAAACTAGGTTTGGAATGAAATAAGAAATGCCAGAAGGAGTTTTCTTGCAATATTTGTATTTTAAACATAATGAGGAATCAACTGCAGCTCAATTTAAACTGATTAATGATTTTGCTGAATCTAAAACTTGCAAAAACTCGTGGAACATTAGTATTGTAATGAAATAAGATACGGCAGAAGTATTTTTTGCAACATTTGCTGCTTTAGACATGGTGAGAAGTTTACTGCAGTTGAAATTAAATTGATTAAAGATTTTGATCAACTCAAAATTTGCTAAAAATCATGGAAAACTAGGTTTGGAATGAAATAAGAAATGCCAGAAGGAGTTTTCTTGCAATATTTGTATTTTAAACATAATGAGGAATCAACTGCAGCTCAATTTAAACTGATTAATGATTTTGCTGAACCTAAAACTTGCAAAAACTCGTGGAACATTAGTATTGCAATGAAATAAGATACGGCAGAAGTATTTTTTGCAACATTTGCTGCATTAGACATGGTGAGAAGTTTACTGCAGTTGAAATTAAATTGATTAAAGATTTTGCTCAACCCAAAATTTGCTAAAAATCATGGAAAACTAGGTTTGCAATGAAATAAGAAATGCCAGAAGGATCTTTCTTGCTATATTTGCATTTTAAACATTTAAACATTTGATCAATGATTTTGCTGAACCTGAAATTTGCAAAAATTAGTATTGTAATGAAATAAGAAATGGCAGAAGTATTTTTTGCAACATTTGCTGCTTTAGACATGGTGAGAAGGTTGCTGCAGTTCAAATTAAATTGATTAAAGATTTTGCTCAACCCAAAATTTGATAAAAATCATGGAAAACTAGGTTTGCAATGAAATAAGAAATGCCAGAAGGATTTTTCTTGCAATATTTGCATTTTAAACATAATGAGGAATCAACTGCAGCTCAATTTAAACTGATTAATGATTTTGCTGAACCTAAAATTTGCACAAAATCGTGGAAAATTAGTATTGTAATGAAATGAGAAGTGTCAGAAGTATTTTTTGCAACATTTGCTGTGTTAGACATAGCGAGAAATTTGCTGCAGTTCAAATTAATTTGATTAAAGATTTTGCTCAAACCAAAATTTGTAAAAAATCATGGAAAACTAGGTGTGTAATGAAATAAGAAATGCCAGAAGGATTTTTTTGCTATATTTGCATTTTAAACATGATGAGGAATCTGCTGCAGCTCAATTTAAACGCATCAATGACTTTGCTGAACCTAAAATTTGCAAAAACTCGTTACAAATTAGTATTGTAATAAAATAAGATACGGCAGAAGTATTTTTTGCAATATTTGCTGCTTTAGACATGGTGAAAAGTTTGCTGCAGTTCAAATTAAATTGATTAATGATTTTGCTCAACCCAAAATTTGCTAAAAATCATGGAAAACTAGATTTGCAATGAAATAAGAACTGCCAGAATGATTTTTCTTGCAATATTTGTATTTTAAACATAATGAGGAATCAACTGCAGCTCAATTTAAACTGATTAATGATTTTGCTGAACCTAAAATTTGCACAAAATCGTGGAAAATTAGTATTGTAATGAAATGAGAAGTGTCAGAAGTATTTTTTGCAACATTTGCTGTGTTAGACATAGCGAGAAATTTGCTGCAGTTCAAATTAATTTGATTAAAGATTTTGCTCAACCCAAAATTTGCTAAAAATCATGGAAAACTAGGTTTGCAATGAAATAAGAAATGCCAGAAGGATTTTTCTTGCAACATTTGTATTTTACACATAATGAGGAATCAACTGTAGCTCAATTTAAACTCATCAATGACTTTGCTGAACTCAAAATTTGCAAAAACTCGTGGAAAATTAATATTGTAATGAAATAAGAAACGGCAGATATATTTTTTGCAACATTTGCTGTATTAGACATGGTGAGAAGTTTACTGCAGTTCAAATTAAATTGATTAATGATTTTGCTCAACCCAAAATTTGCTATAAATCATGGAAAACTAGGTTTGCAATGAAATAAGGAATGCCAGAAGGATTTTTCCTGCAATATTTGCATTTTAAACATTTAAACATTTAATCAATGATTTTGCTGAACCTGAAATTTGCAAAAATTCGTGGAAAATTAGTATTGTAATGAAATAAGAAATGGCAGAAGTATTTTTTGCAACATTTGCTGCTTTAGACATGGTGAGAAGGTTGCTGCAGTTCAAATTAAATTGATTAAAGATTTTGCTCAACCCAAAATTTGATAAAAATCATGGAAAACTAGGTTTGCAATGAAATAAGGAATGCCAGAAGGATTTTTCCTGCAATATTTGCATTTTAAACATTTAAACATTTGATCAATGATTTTGCTGAACCTGAAATTTGCATTAATTCGTGGAAAATTAGTATTGTAATGAAATAAGAAGTGTCAGAAGTATTTTTTGAAACATTTGCTGTGTTAGACATAGCGAGAAATTTGCTGCAATGATTTTGCTGAACCTGAAATTTGCATTAATTCGTGGAAAATTAGTATTGTAATGAAATAAGAAGTGTCAGAAGTATTTTTTGAAACATTTGCTGTGTTAGACATAGCGAGAAATTTGCTGCAGTTCAAATTAACTTCCTTACAGATTTTGCTCATCAGAAAATTTGCTAAAAATCATGGAAAACAAGGTTTGCAATGAAATAGGAAATGCCAGAAGCATTTTTTTGGATATATTTGCATTTTAAACATAATGAGGAATCAACTCAATTTAATCAGCTCAATTTAAACTGATTAATGATTTTGCTAGTAGGAATCTGCTAGTGTTAGTTCTAGTTTTAGTTCAATAAAAATATACAACACAGTAATATCTTATGCTAACTAGCGCTACCTACCACTGCCACTAGAACTAACACTAGACCGAGAACTAGAAACATTCGGGTTTAGCCGCACGTCTCTCAAGACGGCTAAACCCGAATGATTCTAGTTCTAGGTCTTGTGTTAGTTCTAGTGCTAGTGTAAAATTAGAAACTTTCTGGATCCAGGTTCTAGAAAGATCTGGAATGTTAGTTCTAGTTTTAGTTCAATAAAATATGCTAACTAGCGCTAGTATACAGGGTGTTTCGGTGACTCGGGGAACAAATTTAACCGCATTATTGAATTCGGATCTAACATTTTTCCATTTACTCCGAAAACGGTGGTTTTTATCAATATTCTCTAAGAGTAATAAAAGTTTCTAAACTAAATTTACTATTAGAAACTGCAAAATAAATGTAGTGTTGTGATTGAATAAAAAAGTTCTGAGCCAACTCAAAAATTGCAGAATGATTTTACGTGATATTAGTTTACACTGTACCAAATTTCAATGCTTTACCATAAATAGTGTTTAAGATATTTAGAAAAATGTGTTAAAATTTCGTAACTTTGATGGCCTGTACCTTTGCAATTTNGAAACATTTGCTGTGTTAGACATAGCGAGAAATTTGCTGCAGTTCAAATTAATTTGATTAAAGATTTTGCTCAACCCAAAATTTGCTAAAAATCATGGAAAACTAGGTTTGCAATGAAATAAGAAATGCCAGAAGGATTTTTCTTGCAACATTTGTATTTTACACATAATGAGGAATCAACTGTAGCTCAATTTAAACTCATCAATGACTTTGCTGAACTCAAAATTTGCAAAAACTCGTGGAAAATTAATATTGTAATGAAATAAGAAACGGCAGATATATTTTTTGCAACATTTGCTGTATTAGACATGGTGAGAAGTTTACTGCAGTTCAAATTAAATTGATTAATGATTTTGCTCAACCCAAAATTTGCTATAAATCATGGAAAACTAGGTTTGCAATGAAATAAGGAATGCCAGAAGGATTTTTCCTGCAATATTTGCATTTTAAACATTTAAACATTTAATCAATGATTTTGCTGAACCTGAAATTTGCAAAAATTCGTGGAAAATTAGTATTGTAATGAAATAAGAAGTGTCAGAAGTATTTTTTGAAACATTTGCTGTGTTAGACATAGCGAGAAATTTGCTGCAGTTCAAATTAACTTCCTTAAAGATTTTGCTCAACCCAAAATTTGCTAAAAATCATGGAAAACTAGGTTTGCAATGAAATAAGGAATGCCAGAAGCATTTTTTTGGATAGATTTGCATTTTAAACATGATGAGGAATCTGTTAGTGTTAGTTCTAGTTTTAGTTCAATAAAAATATACAACACAGTAATATCTTATGTTAACTAGCGCTACCTACCACTGCCACTAGAACTAACACTAGACCGAGAACTAGAAACATTAGGGTTTAGCCACACGTCTTTCAAGACGGCTAAACCCGAATAATTCTAGTTCTAGGTCTTGTGTTAGTTCTAGTGCTAGTGTAAAATTAGAAACTTTCTAGATCCAGGTTCTAGAAAGATCTGGAATGTTAGTACTAGTTTTAGTTCAATAAAATATGCTAACTAGCGCGAGTATACAGGGTGTTTCGGTGACTCGGGGAACAAATTTAACCACATTATTGAATTCGGATCTAACATTTTTCCATTTACTCCGAAAACGGTGGTTTTTATCAATATTATCTAAGAGTAATAAAAGTTGCTAAACTAAATTTACTATTAGAAACCGCAAAATAAATGTAGTGTTGTGATGGAATAAAAAAGTTCTGAGCCAACTCAAAAATTGCAGAATGATTTTACGTGATATTAGTTTACACTGCACCAAATTTCAATGCTTTACCATAAATAGTGTTTAAGATATTTAGAAAAATGTGTTAAAATTTCGTAACTTTGATGGCCTGTATCATTTCACTCTAGTGTAAATGTGGTTAAATTTGTTCCCCGAGTCATCGAAACACCCTGTATACATTGAAATTGTTTTTAAAACGAGAACTGACCGATTGTATTTTAAGTAGGACACCGCTTAGAGAATGTTCTTGCAACGTTAGGAATTTGCAATTAACGTTCAGGAAGTAGCCGCAAACGAGAACCCAACTAAACAGAATGCTATACAACTGTTAATGGTACAATGTCTGTTAATTAACCATAATTAACACTTGCATTGTTGACCAATTTAGGTATTTAACAATACGCAATTAATTTAGTTGCAAAAAAAAAACATAATTTTATCAAACCTAAAACGTTTTCCTAAATATTAATTAAAGGGTTAGCCATCTGCTCCGCGCAGAAAGAAATTGGGGCCAATTTAAAATGTGGGTTTCCACACCCTCAAACAAAAAACAGAAATTTAGGTTAATCGCCTCTCACCATCCCAATTTTATTTTTTGCGTCCTTCATCTCCCGTTCTATTCCGGTTTTCAGAAAGCACTTTCACGGTGTCGCTGTCAAAAGGATCTCGAGGTTTGGGGTTGAGCGTGACCGGAGGCGTGGACAGCGGGGGTTCTTGGCCGGGGTTAATACGTGTCAAGAGGTTATTTCCTCATCAGCCAGCATCTTCAAGCGAAATGCTCAACGTTGGTGATTTGATTTTAGAAGTTAATGGAATTACACTTACTGGACTTACTAATTATGTAAGAAAATTCGAAATTAATTAAACCAAAATTAATTAATTTTTGTTTTTAGGAAGCTTTAGAAGTTTTAAGGACAGCTCCGAATCAAGTCGAATTAAAAATGTGTCGGCCACCTCCCGATGTTTTAAGTTGCGTTAGTCCAATTTCGGAAGTTCCTCCACCTCCTCCAAGAAGAGAACCACCGACGAGTTTAAATTTAGCTTCGTGTTCTGATGATGAGCATTGCCATGGGGTTGGTTATCTAAAAATCTTTATAAAAAATTAATTAAAAATCTTTTTTTTTTGTAGGAATTTGANATACATTGAAATTGTTTTTAAAACGAGAACTGACCGATTGTATTTTAAGTAGGACACCGTTTAGAGAATGTTCTTGCAACGTTAGGAATTTGCAATTAACGTTCAGGAAGTAGCCGCAAACGAGAACCCAACTAAACAGAATGCTATACAACTGTTAATGGTACAATGTCTGTTAATTAACCATAATTAACACTTGCATTGTTGACCAATTTAGGTATTTAACAATACGCAATTAATTTAGTTGCAAAAAAAAAACATAATTTTATCAAACCTAAAACGTTTTCCTAAATATTAATTAAAGGGTTAGCCATCTGCTCCGCGCAGAAAGAAATTGGGGCCAATTTAAAATGTGGGTTTCCACACCCTCAAACAAAAAACAGAAATTTAGGTTAATCGCCTCTCACCATCCCAATTTTATTTTTTGCGTCCTTCATCTCCCGTTCTATTCCGGTTTTCAGAAAGCACTTTCACGGTGTCGCTGTCAAAAGGATCTCGAGGTTTGGGGTTGAGCGTGACCGGAGGCGTGGACAGCGGGGGTTCTTGGCCGGGGTTAATACGTGTCAAGAGGTTATTTCCTCATCAGCCAGCATCTTCAAGCGAAATGCTCAACGTTGGTGATTTGATTTTAGAAGTTAATGGAATTACACTTACTGGACTTACTAATTATGTAAGAAAATTCGAAATTAATTAAACCAAAATTAATTAATTTTTGTTTTTAGGAAGCTTTAGAAGTTTTAAGGACAGCTCCGAATCAAGTCGAATTAAAAATGTGTCGGCCACCTCCCGATGTTTTAAGTTGCGTTAGTCCAATTTCGGAAGTTCCTCCACCTCCTCCAAGAAGAGAACCACCGACGAGTTTAAATTTAGCTTCGTGTTCTGATGATGAGCATTGCCATGGGGTTAGTTATCTAAAAAATTTTATAAAAAATTAATTAAAAATTAATTAAAAATCTTTTTTTTTTGTAGGAATTTGAAATAACGATGCGAAAAATGCAAGGATCTTTAGGATTCACGTTAAGAAAAGAAGATGATAGTGCTTTAGGGCATTACATAAGAGCTTTAGTTCGAGAACCGGCTTTAACTGATGGAAGAATTCGAGCCGGCGATAAAATAATTGCTGTAAGTATTCCGATAAAAAACTTTTCCATAATCTTAGAGTTTAGAGCAAAATAAAATTTACTTGAAAGAGGAACTTGAGAAGTTAATCTTGGGAGGTATCAAGTTCTGGAACTTATTTCCAACTCGGGTTTTCAATTGAACCGCGTTATGCATCATTTGACTAAGCTACAATTAAACAATGTTGAGAAAAATGGGATTTTCGTTTTCATCTCTCTAAAAATATGACTTTTTACAAATACTAGAGTCAAAATGATGTTTCGTGCAAAATTTTTTGAGTTTTTAAAGTTGTAAAATGAAAAATTCAAGAATCATCATGTGGCTTAAAAATCGACGATTTTTTTTAATCAATGCGAAATGACCAAAAAAACACGTTAAAAATAAAAAGAAACTGCTGAAAAGTGACTAACACTAGATTAACTTCAGTTATAAAACTTCTATTATATGACAACTAACTTCAGGTTTAAAATGTCAACCTCAATTTTGACATATTTGTAATCTTCATTAAAAATCCTTTAAAATGAGTACAAACACGACATATTTATCTTCAATATTAATGAAGTTATGGTCAACTTCAAGTTAAGAATGTCAACCTCAATTTTGACATATTTGTAATCGTCGTGAAAAATCCTTTAAAATGAGCCCAAACATGATACGTTTAATTCCAATATCACTCGAGATATAAGCAACTTCCGGTTTGAAATGTCAATGTCATTTTGACATATTCTTAATTTTTATAAAATGTCTTAATATTTGTCACAAAAACAAAAATATAATAAAAAAAATCAAAAATTAAGGTTGGTATTACTATTTAAAAACTAAATTGCTATCTTCATTGTTGCTAACTTCGGGTTTAATGTTTTTTATTCTAACTATTTTGTTTTTTGAGATAAGTACGTCATGTTTGGACTCATTTTAAAGGTTTTTTAATGAAGATGACAAATATGTCAAAATTGACGTTGACGTTTCAAACCGGAAGTGATTGTATCTCCATTAATATTAAAGTTAAACATGTCGAGTTTGGACTCATTTTAAAGGATTTTTTATGAAGTTGACAAATATGTCAAAATTAAAAGTTGAAAGTTCGAACTTTTTTGTTTTTTGAGATAAATGCGTCATGTTTGGACTCACTTTCAAGGTGATTTTATGAATATTACGAATATAATCATAAAATTACAGTTGACATTGACAACTGAAAGAAGAGTCGAGGATATTTCTAATCGCTCTTCTTTGTATACTAAATATTCCGTAGGAGAAAATTCACAACACGTCTATACTAAAAGGCTGTGGAGCTTAAACGAAATCTTTAAAGTGATCTTTCCCCGAAATTGAAGAAGAGACGGAAACATAACCTAACTTTTATCTATCACTTTAAAATTTTTGAGGATTTAATTTATTTTTTAGAAAAAAACTTATTAATAAACGATTTTTTTAAGATAATAATATAAAATGAATCTATGAATTTTTGAAAATTGCTTTTCTTCTAAATATTTGCTCGCTCCATCTAGCGACAACTATCTATATTAAGTCAGTTTTGACATTTTAACCTTACGATTACATTTCTTGCTACAATTATTAAATTTTGCGAAGAAATAAGTTTATTTGAGCCAAAATCCCCATCAAAATACCATAATATCATTTAACAAGTTAATGATTTTATTTTTTTAAATAACGAAAGTTTAAACGTCAATGTGACATAAATGAACTGTCACCAATTATCACCAACTTCACAATAATATGTCAATTTACTACTTTGACAGGTTATGTTTAAAATTTATTTTTTATTTTAATAATATTGTGTATTAACACAATTTTTTATAAATCCTGCTTTTTTTAGAACGTACTAAACTAGCACTAGAACTAACACAAGACCTAGAACTAGAATCATTCCGATTTAGTCGTATTGAGGGAAAAATTTCTTCGATTTCTTCTCTTCTAAATAATTGCTGTCCCCATCTAGCGGCAACCATCTATATTAAGTCAGTTTTGACATTTAATCCCTACGATTACATTTCTTGCTAAAATTATTAAATTTTACAAAAAAATAAGTTTAATTGAGCCAAAATTCCCATCAAAATACGTTTTTGGACTCGCAAACCATTTATTTACAGTGATTAAGGACTCTAAGAAGTGATCTTTCCCCGAAATTGAAGAAGAAACGAAAACATAACCTAACTTTTATCTGTCAGTTTAAAATTTTTGAGGATTTAAGTTATTTTTTAGAAAAAAACTTATTAATAAACGATTTTTTTAAGATAATAAGGAAAAATGAATCTTCATTCCCCTAAAGATTTCAAACTTTTATAATTAATCTCAAAAAACGATAAAATGTCGCTTAGTCAAGTGATGTATCCAATTCAAATCGGAAATGACTAATCAAATTTCTCTTTACTCGTTTCTTTACAAAACTTACACAAAAAAAAATCTTTTTAAATAGGTAAACGAAGTAGAGATATCATCAATGACTCACGAAGAAGCGGTGCAATTCCTTCGGCAATCCGGTGAATTAGTAAAATTAAGATTATACCGAGATCTAGCTCAAACTCCCGTAGCAACTTTATCCCCGACCGAAACTACTCCAAGAACATCATTTTCGAAAAAAACCCAACTCCGCCAAGAAGCCGTTGATATGTTAAACGACATCGCTGTAAGAAAACTAATCCCAGGTAATAACCAACAAGAACAACAATATCGAAGATCTTTATCACCAAGCACATCACCAAGACAACGTTTACGAAGACGCGAACCTTGCCCATCGGATGCTTCGAATAATTCCGATTCATCCTCAAGACATTTAATAATCGACGAAGTTTTTCATGAGGGGTTACTAAAAAAATGTTCGTTACCTTTAGACGAAGATTCTTTTAACTCCTTATTCCTCGAAGACGACGACAGCGATAAACAACCATCAAGACCCAGCTCTTTAGATCTCTACAACCCAAATCAAACTCCCGTCGCTTCTAGAAAACCAAAATTTAATTTCTCATTAGCTCATAATGCTTACGAATTGAATAATTTGGATGCGGAAATTTTAGACGCACCTAATTTGAATTATAATATCGGCGAAGAAGGTACTTCGACGGAAGTTGAATGCGGGGATAGTTTCCCGCAGGAACCCGCTTCAATGCCCCATATTCCAGCTAGCGACAATCCAGGATTTAGTTACAAAAATCCGGCTTATCAATCCGCTCATCCGCCGTGTGGAACTGAAAATTTTGAAAATAATACGGGAATTAATGCAGGGAAATGTGTTAATAAAGGAAACGATGATGGTAATACAAATATGAAGAAGTGGAAAGGTGTTGTTTTTACGGCCGATGAAGAAAGAGAACGACAAAAAGTGCTGAAAAAAGAAGGTTATAGGAAAGGCGAGAATGATTATGAGGTAAAATTAGTTTTTTTAGATTGTATTTTTTTAAGTCCCTAGATTACAATAATCTAGGGATTTTAGTTTTTGTAACAACGCCATCTTTTGAGTGACACCAAAATCTCGCGAAAATGACAGCGAAATCATAACATAACCTAATTTTTTTTATTAATTAATTTTTATTTTGAAAAAATTAACCTGTCTAAATTAAAATCATCAATCTAATTTGACGCTTATTGAAAGTCAACTTAACATTTTAAAAAAATATTTTCTCCGTAACGGTTAGGATTTAAACAATGAAACTTTTTGAGGTTATAGAGGAACGTTTGAGGTTGGGTTGTACAAATTTTTAAATTTTCACGTCGAATAATTCATGATATATAATCGTTTAAAAATCACCCAAGTAATTTGACGTTTATTGAAAGTTAGGTTAAGATAAATAAAAATTGTTTTCTTCGAAACGCTTACGATTGAAGCAAAGAAACTTTTTGAGGTTATAAAGGAACGTTAAAGGTTGATTTGTACCCAATTTTAAGTTTTCATAGTGAACAATTCATTAAATACAATATTTTAAAAATCACCTATTTAGTTTGACGTTTGTTAGAAATGAGGTTAAGGAAAAAAAATAATTTTCTCCAAAACGGTTAGGGTTTAAACAATGAAATTTTTTGAGGTTATAGAGGAACGTTTGAGGTTGGGTTGTACAAATTTTTAAATTTTTACGGCGAATAATTCATGATATATAATCGTTTAAAAATCACCCAGGTAATTTGACGTTTATTGAAAGTTAGGTTAAGATAAATAAAAATTGTTTTCTTCGAAACGCTTACGATTGAAGCAAAGAAACTTTTTGAGGTTATAAAGGAACGTTAAAGGTTGATTTGTACCCAATTTTAAGTTTTCATAGTGAACAATTCATTAAATACAATATTTTAAAAATCACCTATTTAGTTTGACGTTTGTTAGAAGTGAGGTTAAAGAAAAAAAATAATTTTTTCCAAAACGGTTAGGATTTAAACAATGAAACTTTTTGAGGTTATAGAGGAACGTTTGAGGTTGGGTTGTACCAATTTTTAAGTTTTTGCGACGAATAATTCATGATATACAGGGTCGGTAATATCTATGGAAACAATTCAAAGACAAATTAAAAATACTGGCTCAGTCAAAAAGTTATGACGAATGAAAGTTACGCTTTCTTTAATGGAACACCTGTATATTATTCCATATTTCAGTGCATCTTGAAATACTAATCAAAATAAATGTAGCACATCATAGACCTAAACTTAATCGTTTTCCAGATATCGAGCTTTTAAAAATTTACGAATTTATCTAATTAGTGACGTAATTTATCTTCGGGCGCAAATTATTCAAACTATTTTTGAATTTTTGACATATAACACATGTCACTGCGTTGCTATGGAGATGAGATCAATCACAGCTATTTTCTCCATCGTGTTTAACAGTAAAAGTATCTGCTTGTGCTAGCCAATCTTTGTACTCTGGTTTATTACACCATTAAAATCTGTAAAATATTTCACTTTTTTAGGATGTGATGAGATTTTACTAAAAAAAAAATAGTACTACTATTATTTAAGACTACCGATATAAATACAGGAAAAAAACTTATCTTTGGAGTTATTTGCCCACTTCACTGTATTTTTCCTTGACAATGCAACTTTTTATACATTTCATCAAAATTAAGGTTGCACTTCATGTCACCTATACTCTACTTAATCAAATTTAAAAAAACTCCGCGTCATCTATTTTGACTTATTCTAACTTAACTACTGTTTTTATATATTTTTTACATTAATCTCAAATACAACATTCAACCCGGAGAGTTTTAAGCCTGGATATTTGCATTAAAAACGGGAGTTGAAACCGGAGAGGTGGCAACCGTGATTAGTAGTAAAAAGTATCAAAGTATCGGGTTTAGCCGTGTAGCTACCTATCACTGTCACTAGAACTAACGTTAGACTTAAAACTAGAAACACTCAGGTTTAGCCATCTTAAGAGACGCACGGCTCAATCTAACGCTAAATGCATTTAGCAGTTCTAGTGCAAAACTAGAACTAACCCTAGAACTAGAAACATTCGGGTTTAGCCGCACGTCTCAAAAGACGGCTAAACCCGAATGATTCTAGTTCTAGGTCTTGTGTTAGTTTTAATGATAGTACCAGTGCAAAACTAGAACTAACACTAGAACTAGAGAAACTATTGGGTTTAGTCGTGCGTCTGAAGACAAAAGATAGTTTTTCCAACAAAAAAAATCATATCTTTCACAAAATAATGTTAAGTCAAAATGAAGATGTTGGCTAGACCAGAATATTATTACTTATTATCTCCGCAAAACATTAAGGAAAATGTTGAGAAATTTAGGTAACTGATTTCAGAAAGTTCAGAATCAGTTCTAAGTATTTAGACAACGTTGAGGTTGGACTTTATTCTATTGTCATACCTACAATAGATTCTGAAAGATTGTGGTGTTATTCAAAGCAGCGCTTTAAACCTTTCCAAACCTATTCCATTTACATTATTACATCTTTTGGCCAATACTAAAATTTATCAGACTCAGTTTTGAGTGTTCACACAAAAGTATGCAAGTTGACAGGAAAAGATGCAGTACATTTTACGATGTGGTAACTGTTTCCAGAAAGTTCAGAATTAATTCGAAGTGCTTAGACAACGTTGAGGTTGGTGTTATTGAAAGTTGCGTTTTGAAACAAATTTAGCTTATAATTGACTCGGCTTTCTTTTCAGTGAATATTTTCAAACTCCAAACCCATTTCATTTGTATTATTACATCTTTTCGCAAACACCAAAACTTATCAGAATCAGTTATAAGCGTTTAGAATCTCTTTCCAAGAGAAAAAAAACCTGTTGTTGTAGTTCAATGATATTATAACAATAAATAAAAGAAATTAATCGATCGTAGTTGATTTAATTGATAAAATAGCCAGTAGTATTGTGGTCGCCAAGCACTTAGTAGTGTTTTGGCAGCAGTATATAGTCTTCTGAAAGCATTAAATAGTCTTTGCCAACAATATCTAGCTTTCTCCAAGCAATTAGTAGTCTTTCCAACAATATTTATCATTCTGAAAGTAATTAATAGTCTTTTGAAAACAGTATCTTGTCTTTCCAAGCAGATAATAGTTTCTCCCAGCAGTATTTAGTCTTCTCCAAGCATGTTGTAATCTTTTCTAGTAGTATACAGCGCTCTGAATGCAGTAAGCACTATCTAGTCTTCTCTAAAGCATTAAATAGTCTTTGCCAACAATATCTAGCTTTCTCCAAGCAATTAGTAGTCTTTCCAACAATATTTAGCATTCTGAAAGTAATTAATAGTCTTTTGAAAACAGTATCTTGTCTTTCCAAGCAGATAATTGTTTCTCCCAGCAGTATTTAGTCTTCTCCAAGCATGTTGTAATCTTTTCTAGTAGTATATAGCGCTCTGAATGCAGTAAGCACTATCTAGTCTTCTCTAAGCAGATTGTAATCTTTTCCACCAGTATCTAGCATTTTGGAAACAATAGGTATCTTTTCTGGAGACCATATGTCTTCTTTCCAAGTAGTTATTAGTCTTTTCCAGTAGTATTTAGCATTCTGGCAGCATTAGGTAGCTTTTTGAGAAGCATATCTCTTCTTTCCAAGCAGTTATTAGTCTTTTCTGAACAATTATTAAAGTCTTTGAAAGCAATAAGTGGTCTTGGAAGCAGTATTCCGCCTGTCCAAGTAGGTCAAAACCTTTAACAGCAGTGTTTAGCGTTCTGGAAGCAATAGGTATTATTTTGAAAACAGTATCTAGTCTTTTCCAAGTAAGTAGTGGTCTTTTTCTGCAGTATCTAGCACTTTCCAAGCAGTTTTTAGTCTTTTACTTCTTTTACAGAAGTATTTAATCTTCTGATAGCAATAATTAATCTTTTTCCAACAGTATCTATATATTTTCAATTTTTTTTTAATTGTAACAGCTGACTTGAGTAATTTTTCGTTGATTAAAAAAAAATTGTCGATTTTTAAGCGACTTGATGATTCTTGAATTATACCTTTATTAATTTCTTTTAATTGCAGATACTTGCCATTGAATTAAATCGAGGTTGGAATAGTCGATTAGGTTTTAGTTTACAAGGAGCAGCTGGTGTAACATATGTAAGTGCAGTTCATGCTGATAGTGTGGCCGCTAGAGATGGGAGAATTAAACCAGGAGATCGACTGATTAAAGTAAGTCATTTTAAATAAAATCATAAATTAATAAAAAAAATCATTTAATGATTTATATGTAGGTAAACGATGAAAGTGTAGAAAACATGACGACGTCCGAAATAATAGATTTGTTACGAATAGTTCGTGGCCCTGTTTGTATAATCGTATCCAGGGCGAAAAATAAAGAAGACTGTATTTCACGAAAAACGAATTGAAAACAACTAAAGATTTCAAGCAAAAAATGTTAAGAAACACGTTTTTGAAAGGAATTTCTTAGTTTTAGTTAATTTTTTGAATTGAACTGAATCAGCTTCCAGAAAAACAAAACGACAACCAACTCGATTATTCCTAATTCCTCCGTAAAAAAACAAACATAGAGGCATAGATTTTAGTGTAAAGAAACACTTACTTGTGATAGATGTAGTGTTATTAATTTCTTGGTAAAAAATATTCCATTTTTTTGAATGATATCAAAAATTTTTTCTTTTTAAACATTTGAAACTTAAGGTCTAAAATATACATAAACTATTAGAGCTTAGGGATTATCGAGGTCAAAAAAAAATCTGCAAGTAAATACTTATTAGGTTTTCGAAAACTATTAACAAAATAAAATTAAAAAAAAAAGTAATTAGATAGATTCTTAGCATGCGAAAGATTTACGACTCAATTATTAATATTAAAAAAAAAACCAACAAGGATTTAAAGATTTAAGCGAACGTAAGATTCTAAAGTTTTTTGCCTCGTAATAGTGATGTGTTATTTTTGGTAATCAAAACGATAAATCAAAAAAAAAAAAATGTAATAATAAAAAGTGCAACAAGATACGATGACAATTAATTATTAATTAAAAAAAAACGAAACGTGAAGGTGAATCCCCTAAATAAAATGAGATATCAATTTTTATTTCTCCACATCTACGTTTCTATGTTGTATTTTTTGTTTCTTTGTTCCTTTTTATATTGAATTTCTATTTGTACATTTCCTGTTTTAATTTATACATAAAATATTAATTATATATATATGGATATATTTAAAAAACCAAAGATTTAAAAATAAAAATATACTGTTGATACCCATTTATTATTGTTTTATTCATTTTCCCCTCAAAATAAATCAATAATAGCGTAATGTCTAAAGTCAATAATCTTTGATAAAAAAAATTAAAAAATTAATTGAAAAACAAATAAAACCAAAACTATTAGTTAAATATATACAAAACCTTATTACAAGCATTTAATAATTGTAATAATAGATTAAAATTTACAATAGAAACAACAAAAAATAATGACCTATCTTTTTTAGATTTAAAATTGATTATTGATAACAGTAAAAATAAAATTTACACTGCTTGGTATAAGAAAGAAACTTCCAGTAACAGAATATTACACTATATGAGTAAGCACCCAAAGTCACAGATAATTAACACCATGAATAATTTAATATGTAGAGTTATATCGGTAACGGATCCACCTTTTTTAAAGCAAATTAAATTAAAAGTTTATGACATACTACTAGAAAATTCATTTCCTAAACCAATAATAAATAACGCTTGGTATTCCATATATCATAGAATCCAAAATGAAAGCGTTGATCGCACATTGACGGGAACGACCGATATACCATTAAATGTTAACACAAATTTAAAAACTCAATCATCTCATAATTATAACCTTAGATCGGGAGTTGAAAATAATAAAAAAAGAAACTTAACAACTAATTACATAGAAGTAATAAAACCGACCATACCAGAAAATACAAACAAAGTCAATTGAACAATGATAAAAAACATACATAAAACAGCTCTATGCTATCATAGTAAACAAGAACACCATACTTTTAATTTTGATAAACCAAAAGTATTATCAACTAGTGGAAATACACTTAATAGAAAAAATTTTGAATCTATATACATAACAAAAAACATAGATAGTACAGTGAATTATAAAACTGACGCTGGTGGAATCGGGATACATTACGCAGGAATAATTCATGATTTAAATATATAAAATTTCTTTTAACAAATTCCTTAAAAAGATATAAGAATAACAAGTTGAGGTAATACAAGATTTCGCTTCCCCCACCTAAGTATACAAGTTTTTCGATACACGTTCAAACAACATGGAAATTGTTCCATCTATGATTTTCTAGTGTGCTGACACGTGTTATCGTTTGAATAGAATTTAAGATGTAAAAGTGCGCTAAGATGGTACATTTTTTGTCCGAAACATTTTCTTCCATCTCTTTTCATTCTCATGGCCGGTTTCTCGTTCGAAAATGCATGTCGATATCGAACCGATATCGCGCTGTTGATCGATAACTATGGCGATATCGGTCATTTGGGTTTCTGAAAGGATCGATAGGAGATATCGGATCGATAACTATATCGCATGCAACAAGCCGATATCGACTCGATAAGTGTGATTAATGACAGTGATGTGTGTTAAAAGATTGCGAATTTTGATTAAACTGTTCATCCCATGCTTGTTTCTTTACCATGTTTGTGGATATTTTATTTCGTTTGATTTTCTATTACTGATTTTCGTTCCATAACTAATTCCACTAACAATTTTTTATCGCAAGAAATAAAATTCTTCGATCGTTTCTCCATAGCGCACGTATTATCAAACTAACCGTTTTCGAAAAAAGGAAGAGCCCAAATTTCAACAGATGTCTTTTATTATACGTTAGTAACGTTATTTTTCTTTTCTAAATTATTTAATTATTAAAAAAAAAGAATAATTTAACTTAAATAATTAAAATTTTAGTTTCTCTTTTTTGGATTACCAAAACAATGTAGTGGATGCTTCGCTGGGCTTGTCCCGTTTGCATCCCAAGTGTAATAACTAAATAAATAAATAATTTTACGAACTGTTTGTTCAAAATTTTTACCGGCACCTATCGGCGGAAATAAACAAGTAACCGATTTTTTGACAAAATCGTTCGATAACCATGGATATCGGAACAATAGTTATCGGATCGATATCTTTTGACAGGTCGATATCGGCTGTTGGTGTTCTGGTACGAACTGATCGACAGATATTGCATACAATAGTTATCGAACGATTTTGTCAAAAAATCGGTTACTTGTTTATTCCCGTAGATAGGTGGCGGTGAAAATTTTGAACAAATAGTTCGTAAAATAATTTATTTATTTGTTTATTACACTTGGGATTCAAACGGGACAAGCCCAGCGAAGCATCCACTAATAAAACACACAGTACATAAACAAAAATAAAAAGTTGCTAAGACAAGGAATTGATAACGAATTGATAATAATAATAAAAATTAACAAACAAAAATCATCAAATAATAACAAAAATGATTAGTAAAAAAAAACAATTAACAAAAAAGAGAAACTAAAAACTTAATTATTTAAGTTAAATTATTTCCTTTTTTAAATAAGTAAATAATTTACAAAGGACTATACTAACGTACAATAAAAGATATCTGTTAAAATTTGGGCTATCCCTTTTTTCGAAAACGATTAGTTTGATAATACGCGCGCTATGTCGAAACGAACGAAGAATTTTATTTCTTGCGATAAAAAATTGTTAGTGGAATTAGTTATGGAACGAAAATCAGTAATAGAAAATCAAACGAAATAAAATATCTACAAATATGGTAAAGAAACAAGCATTGGATGAACAGTTTAATCAAAATTTGCAATCTTTTAACACACATCACTGTCATTAATCACACTTATCGAGTCGATATCGGTGCTTGTTGCATGCGATATAGTTATCGATCCGATATCGGTCCGATATCTCCTATCGACCCTTTCAGAAACCCAAATGACCGATATCGCCATAGTTATCGATCAACAGCGCAATATCGGTTCGATATCTACATGCATTTTCGTACGAGAAACCGGCCACGCCGTCAAAAGATATCGATCCGATAACTATTGCTCCGATATCTATTCAATATTATAATGTACGAGAAACCGGGCATCAGACTTTTATTCGATTTTTATGCCAAAAACGCCAATTTCAGAAACATTTACTTTCTAACCAAATAACATGGGTATAACTGATCAATGTGTTACAACTGCTTATAGAATATGTTTTTAAGATTAATAACGAACATTTTTTGTCCGAAACATTCCCTTCCATCTTTTATCACTCTCAGACTTTTATCCGATTTTTATGCTAAAAACGTCATTTTCTGAAACATTTACTTTCTAACCAAATAAGATTGGTATAACTGATCAATGTGTTACAATTGTTTTTGAGGTCAATAATTTTCATCACCCACGTCACTGACGCATACATGTCTTATAAACGTTTTGTATATTAGTTGTTTTGTTGGTTACTACGCCTGATGTTAATAGTTTGCCTAGTCCAAAGTAACCTCTATTAGCCATATGCAGTATTCTCTTAATTTCTGCCAACATTATGTTCTTAAATTCCTTTACACCTTTCAACATGTATAGTTCACTAATCAGATCTTCAGGTGACATATTCAAACAGCAGCAATTTGGCCTGAAGTTGTGCTTACCCCAAGTCCCGTATCCATGCATCTTCGCGGTTTAGTAAGACGCCGTTATGTCGAAAACGGCTGGCTGGATTTCCTCGCGGATTTGACCAAAATATGTCAAATAATGTCAGTTGTCGGATTCCGTTATCAGTATTGCAAAACTAGAGCTCCCTAATTTTTTAAAAGCGATTTAATGGAATTACAAATTAAAGAGAGACAGAAATAAGCTCTGCGGGGTGACGGGGGTTCCGTCCAATCGGAACAGATGGTGCGTCCCAGACAGGACGTCGCGCCTTATTTCTTTATGTAGGTAAGATAAAAGCGCGACGTACTGTCTGGGACACACCATCTGTTCCGGTTGGACGGAACCCTCCTCTCCCCGCATAGCTTATGTCTGTTTCTCTTTAATTTGTAATTCCATTAAATCGCTTTTAAAAAATTAGGAAGCCCTAATTTTGAAAAACTGATAACGGAATCCGACAATCGACATTATTTGACATATTTTGGTAAAAACCGCGTTGAAATCGGTCAGGTCGTTTTCGAAATAACCGCCTCCTACTAAACCGCGATTTTCTGCGAAACTATATGGAATATCGAAAAAATAAAATATGCCCCACATTAAGAACACATCGGTTTACCACCAGTTCAAATTTGAAAATTTTTCGTCAAATACTTTTGGAGAAAAAAAATCGCAAAGTAGATAAAGTTGCTGGCAC